TGAGCCCCCCCCAATCCCGAGGACTTCGGGGTCCCCGCACCCCCTTGAGGATTTATAGTGCGCTGTGGGGGTCGCTTCTGCTGCTCTGGGCTGCCCCCCCCCACACGCACCCCCCCTCTGCACCTGGGATGTGACAGCCTGTTTCTGGAGCTGCCCATTGACTATGGCCCCGTAGCTGTCAGGAGACCTTATTCCTTCTGTATGGCCCAGCCTAGGGGAGCCGCTGCCCCGGTCGCCTTTCCCCCGGCGGGCGTGTGACATCGGGGCGAGCCCGCTTGGGTTGTGGCTGTTTCGTGGTGTGTGGGGGGGTTTCTTTTTCTTTTAATTTAGTAGGAGTCGGTTTATTTCCCCCCACCTCTCCCTGCGTGTGGCAGAGACTCCGGGGGGAGAGAAGAGAGAGCCTTGAAACCATTGTGCTGCCAGACTATTTTTGTATGATTCTGGGGGCGTAGGGAGGAAAAGAAGAGACGTCTATTTTTATTAAAGAGATTATTAAAAAAAAGAAAAGAAAAAGAAAAAGAAAACCAAGATGGCTGGAGGTGGCCGTGATGAGCGTGTTGGCTTTTTTTTTTTGATCTGATGATAAAGCCAAAAGACAACAGCAGCTGGTGCTACACAGACTCGATTTGGAGTTTCCCCTCCTTAAACTGACACATCAGGCGCATACTTTACAGGGTGGTGCCGTCTACCAGATCGATTCTTTTTTCTTGTTTTTATTACTTTTTTTTTAAATCTACCCTTCTTTCTCTGGTGGCTCTATTTTTAAAATCCAAACTGAGAGAGGCAACTCAAAATGGCTGAGAATTGACTAGATCCTGCTGGAATTGTACATTTCAGCCGTCTTCTTTCAGCTTCTCCCTCTCACCCCCTTTTTTGCAGGCTGGATCTGAAAGGAGAAATAGCTTTCATGTCAGAGAGAAAACAGAGAAGAGAAGGAAAAGGAGGGGGAAGGGCTCTTCATTAGCAGTTGAGAAATTCCTTTTCAGTTTGATCAAGGCATGCTTGTTTTCCTACCAGCGACCCAGCTCTCTCCCAAATATTGAGCTTCTGTTTTGTTTTATTATTTCTCCTTTTGGATGTTTTTACCTTGAATCAGAATCTCTCCAGATCCTGAAACAAGATTTTCATTTTCTAAACCTGTTCCCTAGTGAGAATTTAGAGCACAGGTTGATTTTTGTTTCATGGGCCTTTTTTTCCCCCCCTCTCCCGAACCTTTTTTCTTCTTCTTTCGTTCTCATTCCTGTCTGTGAAAGGAGGAAGGAACAGGGAGCGTTCCTTTGGCTCTGGGCTGGAATTTCATCTGAATGATTGACCTATCTTCCCACTGTATTCTTCCGTCCAAGATCTCACTATTCCAAAGCAACCGACAGAATTTTTTTTGCTGCTCAGCTGGGTTAGAAGAAAATCTTTGGGGCAGTTGAAAGAATCCAGTTAGTTGTTTCATTGTTTTTTTAATCTTCCATTTGGATCTTAACTCTTGTTTTTTTTTTTAAGACTAATTCCTAGCTCCCCTCAGGGAGAAAAGGAAGGGGGAAAAAAACCGGAGACAGTCTATTCTCTTGGGCTTCTGACCGGGTTGGTGGACAAAAGTCCCTTTAAAATATTGAATGTCAGTTGCAAACCGAAGACAAGAAAAATCAAATCCGGAGTTCTAAATTTAGGAGGTTTTTATAGAACTTGGACTCTGCTACTGGATTTTGTATGGATTTTTTTTTTCCAACCTTCAGTAAGTTTCGATTCACCTTCCGGAATCAAAAGAAACAAAACTGCTCCTAAGAGTTGTTAAAATTGTGGGCTCTAAACCCTGAAAGCTTCTGTGTTTTTTTTCAACTGACACTGGCCCTTAATCAAATCATATATATACATTTTGTTAGTGTTTGAGTTTCGTAGAACTCTGCTCTGTAGGTTATTTTACTTTGAATTTTAGGATAGACTGTAGTTTTTATTTTTTATTATTATTTTATTTTTCAATAGCAGTTTTCCGGCAGACTTCCCACTGCAGGGGGAAGAGCCCACTCTCCAGCTGCATCTGTAGATCAAACTGAAATAGTAAGAGAGAGATTATAAATCTATCCGTAGAAATGGCTGAAAATTGGAAGAACTGTTTCGAAGAGGAACTTATATGTCCCATTTGCCTGCATGTCTTTGTGGAACCCGTTCAACTTCCTTGTAAGCACAATTTCTGCAGGGGCTGCATAGGGGAGGCGTGGGCCAAAGAGACTGGGTTAGTGCGCTGTCCGGAATGCAATCAGGCCTACAACCAGAAACCCAACCTGGAGAAGAACTTGAAACTGACCAACATTGTGGAAAAGTTCAACTCCCTCAACCTGGAGAAGACCCCCTCGGTCTTGCACTGCGTCTTCTGCCGCAGGGGCCCCCCGCTGCCCGCCCAAAAGATTTGTCTGAGGTGTGAGGCCCCCTGCTGTCAATCTCACGTGCAGACGCACCTGCAGCAGCCCTCCACGGCCCGGGGGCACCTCCTGGTGGAGGCGGACGATGTCCGGGCCTGGAGCTGCCCCCAACACAACGCCTACCGACTGTACCACTGTGAAGCGGAGCAGGTCGCCGTGTGCCAATTCTGCTGCTACTACAGCGGGGCCCACCAGGGCCATTCGGTGTGTGACGTGGAAATCCGGCGTAACGAGATCAGGGTAAGTGGACCCCGCGGTTGTCCCTTTCTCTGAGACGGTCGTGCTGGTTGCAGCGCGCCCGTGGTGTGCATGGTGCTGTCCAAGAGACGAGCAAAGGCAAGTAAGTCCCTGCCCCGAGGAGATTCCAGTCGCAAAGAGATGGTCAAAGTCCTTAAAAATAATGTGTCATTGGAACCGACCTGGGTCTGGCCAGTGGGGCAAGGCGAAGGGACTTCATAGATCTCTTCCAATTTGAGTGGGGGATGGAAGCGAATCACTTCCCCTGCGTATTTGCCTATCTGAATCTTTACCTAGCCCCCCACGGCGATTCTTTTTGATCAAGGGCTTTTACTCAGTTGTGAAGATTCCAGACTCAAGTGGGCACAGTCAAATCTGACACCCCCTCCCCAAATTCTATCTGCTTTAAAATCATTAGGGGAGGAATTTGCCACCTATTCCCCGATCTACCTCATCTTTAATCCTCTGTTGTGCTTTGAGAATCTTTTTATTTGTTTATTGAAAAGGCCCAGTGTTTATGTAGGACCTACAAAATAACTCCTTGCACTCCTCCTCCCTGAGGGTTCCGCAGCTGCCATTTGATTCAATGTCCTGTTCCTAGCTCCTCAGTGGTGCTGGGGTAGAAATGAGGAAGTAAACAAAAGCAGACATGAGAGACACAAAGTAATATCTTTGACTGGACCAACCTACATACTGTGTCTCATATCCTGTGGACTAGTGTGGCTACAAAAGCACTAAAGCAGACGTTAATTTCAAGCTGAGCTGGAAAGGCATCGTGGGGGTGGGGGAAAGTGCGCGCCAAACAGGGGTGGGTGATAAAATCACTGGGATGGGGTATGTGTTTTCCGCTTTCAAGGGGTTATTCAGACAATGGAGTGGAGGTGGAGGAGAGGAAGCAGCGAGGCATTTGATGGGGATCTTTTGAAGTCATTTGTCACCCACTGGTGACAATAGGACTTGAAACCTTCCAACTGCTTTGCAGACTAATTAACAAAGAGGATATGGGTAACTTGGCGAGGCAGCTAATTATGGGTATGTGGTTATAAGGTAAAGGGTCTGAGTGATCCCCTCCTTGGGCCATTTGTTGCAGCGAATGAACGCTGAACGAAATCATCCTGGTTTAGAACAAAACATCAGCAAAGAGAGGCCCTTTGCCCGAGGACTTGCTTCCAGAACCTTTTCTGAAGGCCCTGTTTGCTTTCCAAATAAGCGAGGGTGGAAGGGAAATCAGATGGGTTCGTAGGTTGAATTGCATTGAAATCTGGTTTCAGGCAGCTTGCTCCCAGGGGTGGCAAGCAATGCCTTGATTACAATGCATCCCTCCCTTGGTATGGCTTGTCCGGGTCAAATCAGCCTCTCCTCTCTCTTCCCACCGCTCCGGGCTCCACCAGAGTCTCCCTCCTCTGGCGATGTTTGAAACCCCTTGGAGGTGCGTGTTGGGGAGGAGGGGTGAGGCAGGGGTAGGAACTTGAGCAGCTGGGGTTGGTGTCACCAGTGCTTGGCCTTCTCGGGGAGAGGGCAGCATGGGGGCGCAGAGGGCTAATGCGCCAGCTTTTCTGCCTGTGGGCGCTTAGGCTGACATTTGGCTGAACAATGAAGAGTTTGTGGTGGGGACGGGTGGGACCCGTGCCCATCCTGGGAGGAGCACAGACCACTGGGGTTTCGCGAGCTCGTGCCCAGAACTGGAATAATAGGGGGTTTTGTACGTTGAAGCTTGTTTGGCAGCGTGGCCTGGTGGAGTCCTTCCTGCCCTAATCCTGGGGTCTAGTCCCTGCCTTTAGCTGCGGAGACTGGGGACAGCTAACAAGCGCGGAGGCCATCAACCCATCCCAGCGTTGCTGTCTTCCTTGGGAGAGGCCTCTCCTCTTCTGTTCTGCTGTCTCCCGCACAACTGCTTCAGGGCAGTGGGGCCCTCGCTTCCTCCCAGCGCCAGAGTGCGCGGAATAAATATTTAACAGTGAATCTAATGGTGATTGCTGTGAAATGGGGATGATTTCCTGTGTATTTTAATGCTGCCAAGATGAGTCACCGTTTAGCAATTAAAAAAAAAAACACACACACGGTAATAAATAAAAAGCGCAACATAATTACTTTCCAGTTGGATGGCCAGGCTGGGGGGGGAGGGGAGATGCTCTGCAGAGAGGACCCAGTGTGAGCTCACACGAAAGTGGTTTTTCCCCCTCCGGGTTTGTTTGGGAAAACCAAGGCTTGCATGGAGCAGCTAGTGGTTCCCCCCCCGCCGACACCCACCCTGAGGAAGGGCAAAGACTCAGCCAGGCTTGTGAGAAGTGTTTGCTTCTGTTAATTCATCCTCTCTGGGAAAAGTAGAAAAGATACCTTCATCCCAGAGTCGGGAGTGGCTGGCCGGGCTGGGAAACCCACGCAATGGGGTGGTCCGCTGCGCAGCGCCAAGGAATTTTCCGGGTGCGTTCCCAGCAGACTTGGATCTCATCCACGCCCACTTTTAAAATGTGTTGCTGCTCGAAGGATACCTTCTGCTGGCTCGCCATCAGCCCCTTCAGGGGGTTTCCTGGCTAAACTGCAGGGTGCAAAGCTACAGCCAGTCAAGGAATACACTTCAGCCTCACTGCAAACCTTTACTGTTTAGGAAAGATGGTCCAGAGGTTAGGGAACTAGCTTGAGACTCGAGACCTGGGTTTGATTCCCTGTTCTGCCACAGACTTCTTGTGTGACCTTAGGGGAGTCACTTAGCCCCTGTGTGCCTCAGTTTCTGCTCTGTGCAATGGGGATGGCGGCACTGGTCCCCCCTACAGGGCCATGCACTGAAGATTGTGAAGTGCTCCGATGTTGTAATGGGGACCCGATGCATTCCTTACATAGATTAGGCCAAATATTGAGGTTCTTAATCAACAGTTCTACAAGTCATCAGCCTGAGTTTGTCTGAATAAGCAAGGCACCATGATCCAGTGGATAAAGCCCAGAGCTGGGAGTCAGGAGATCTGGCTTCTGTTCCCAGTTCTCCCATTAGCTCACTATGTGACCTAGGTCTTGTGCCTCAGTTTCCCCGTTCAATAAAATAGCAAGAAACCCACCTTTTGTCAGTAGGCCTTGGGATCTGCCCATCTATATGTTCAGTGTGCATGGTGCTTTGCAGACAAATAAGAAATGGCAACTTCCTGCCCTCGGGATCTTGGACTCTAAGGGCCGGATCTGGTGGTTCTTTCTCAGGCGAATATTTCCCTTTGACTCCCATGTCTGAGTGTGGTTAGCCACAACGCAACAAGAGACGGCAAAGAACCCCAAAGAGCTGGGCTATATAATGACATTGATGAATGGCTAATAGCACGGAGCTAGTGAGATCTGGGGCTGCGGGGAAGGTGTCTGAGAGTAACTGGTCATGCGATATTCCTCATGGATTTTTTTGTAGCTCCTTTTTTTTCATAGAATATCGGGGTTGGAAGGGACCTCAGGAGATCTAGTCCAACCCCCTGCTCAAAGCAGGACCAGTCCCCAGACAGATTTTTGCCCCAGATCCCTATAATGGCCTCCTCAAGGATTGAACTCACAACCCTGGGTTTAGCAGGCCAGTGCTCAAACCACTGAGCTATCCCTCCCCCCTGTTCGGAGATTCCGGGCCTGATTCTCTCCTGTCACCTTCCTAATATCAATGTGTAGCGGGACTCTGAATCCAGCTCCATGTCTGAACAAGGGCCTGGGGCTGACATCGGCATTGGAGGCCTTTGAAGGTAACCTGATCACAGCTAGCCAGGTGACAAGTTGTGATCATTGCCTCGACAGGCCCAAGGCATGTGGCCATCGTATTAGTTTTCTTACCCGAGTCCCCTGCGCCGATCTCTGACCCTTTGTTTGTGTCCTCCACTTGTTAGGTCTAGTCTTGGAGACTGTAAGCTCTTTGGGTGCAGGGACTGTCATTTTCAGTGTGTTTGGTCTCAGTTGTGCTAGGGCTGTACAATCTAGTTGAGACCTTCGAGTACCACCACACTATAAACAGTATGTTGAGCATGAGTCAGGCGAGATCTTTCCAGGTTGGCAGGTGTGGGGGCGCAGCGTCGGCGCGAAGACCGTATGGGAGAAGGGGCAGGTGGGTCTCGAATAAACACATGCAGAATTGCAAAGGCAGATAGTCTTGTACGTAGATTTCAACTCTTCAGGGCAAAGGATTGTCGTTTTGCTCTCTGTGTGTACAGTGCCTGGCACAGTGGAGTCCTGGTTCATGATTGAAGCTCACGGACACTGTTGCAATACAGATAGCACATATCGTTTGTGGTTAATCTTTCGCGTGCGAATGTGTGTAATATATTGCCTCCCTCCTCCCCCCCCCCCCCCTTGAGATGTTTTCTCCTTTATTTCCTGTTTTTGTGGCATGGAAATAAAAACCCTCTGTTTTGTTCCATTTCATTTTGTTTGTATCAAGGAATCAAAAAATGAGGTGTTTCTCTTCAGGCCCTGCCTTCATTGTTGAAATCTTAAAGTTCCTGGGCTGCCCTTTATCCCTGGTCATAATGGAATCTCCTTCCAACCTGGCAAAAGAACCCATCTTGGGAACAATTATTTGTTGTTCTTTTGGTTTTTATTTGTCTATTTAAAGAAAAGTTTGTTTCCGATTCTGAAGTCACCTAATGGGGATTTGAAGGAAGACAGGAAACAAAACCAGCAAGATATTTTTCCTCCCAAACATTCTCCAAATGTTGCCATGTTCATCCTGGATGCAATTGACTCCCTGAATCAAAGCTCACTTGAGAATCTCAAAACAGACAGGACAGAGTTAAAATGCTGTTTATAACCTGTGCTTTGGCCTTTCTTTTCTTTTTTTTAAGGGATGCTGAGGGTTTTTAATCCTGCTATTGGTCTTGCCTTAAAGGTAGAACAGTTTGGTGTGTGTGTGTTTGGGGGGATTCTTCTATATTCTGAATAGCTGTCGTATTTTTTTAAGAAGAATGGGAGTTCTATATATGAAGAGCATTATTTTGGTGAGACCTTTTGCAAACAATGTTCAGTGCTCCCCCTTCAGGCGCTGAGGCAGTACAGCACGGTTTCCAGAGCAGGGCTGATTGGGCTATTGCACGGGGAAGATGGTTTTGGCTTTATAGATGGCCGTGGTGGGTTGGGGAGTTGTTTGTTTTTAATCACACAAAGAGCTGAGTTGATTTCAGCTCTGTGTTAAAATCCAGGAGGGAGGAGACCCGTAGTATTTGCCAAAAGTCTGAAATGGATTGGTGGGGGGGAACAGTGATGAATTCTCAGCTCCTGCTGGGGGAGATTTTTTGGGAGCGAAATTTCTGTACAGAGGCAGGCCTTGTGCCAGTGCACTGCTGGGAGAATTGGCTGCAGAGCCCGACACAGATGTGACCTGTTAATCGTGCCTGTCCAGGCAAAGCAGTGGCCGGCCATACCCTCCCTGCAGATGATCTGTGAAAAATGTCCATTGTGGCTTTTTTCCACCCCCTTTCCTGGCTGGCCCTATCGATTTTTCCCTGACGCACTCCAGCAAGGACAAAAAATTGTCAGTTACACAATGGGTTTCAAAGGGGGAGCTCTGCAGGCCTCTGTTTGATAGACAGCTGTGGAGCTGGGGGAATTTTTTTTTTTCCCCTTGAAAGGGTCCTTCTCTCCCAATGGTAAAAAAATGTTATTGGAACTGGAGTGCCTCTAAATACTGGGTGGCGGGCACCGGCTAGAACGGAGAACCTGTAGGCAGAGCTGAGGTGGGTTGCATTTTAAAAACAAAACCAGGTTTTGTATCTTATCGTGCGTAGGGTTTGATTTAATAGGCGTGATTTCCAGGTGATTTGTTAGCAGGTGTGCGTGCGCGGTACAGATCATCGGATGGGTAGTGTTTATACATATTTGCCTAGAGCTTGGGGTAAGTGAGTACACGTGACTGTGGTCAGTGAGGGCAGATGCTATGCAAGCATTTTCCCATAGTGCTCTGCAAATGTGCCTCACTCCAGACTCACGACTATTCCAGCACTAGGTCCCACCCAGTGCACCTCCGCACTCGCGGGAAGTCCCTGGCTATTCTAGTCCTAGACACCCCGTACATAGCTCTGCTGATGTTCAATTCCCTGCCCACAGCCCTTCGATGTTCCTCGGCCCTGACCTGGATTGCCCCTTGTTATTCCGGTGCTGGGCTGCCAAATGGGACCTGGGTTCTGTGCCCTGGGATTCTGCGTTTCTGTGCAGTGTCTTTTTAGGCCATCATAGGTGATCTCGTCAGACTGCCCTGGCCCCATCTCCATGGCTTTAACAGTCGTTGGTTTGTGTAGGCTTTGCTGCTGCCCTTGGTTTGCCTGACGATTTAGAAGACAGGAAATTAAATGCATTGGATAGCAGGAAAGGGTGTTTCAGAGGAATCTTGGGGGCGCCTAGCCATCCTTGCTGTAAAGCCTTTGAAGTCCGGGAAGTTACCCCAAGCATGAACTTGTCTTGATCCTAGGAGTCTCTCAAAGCAAGACGGTACCTTTAGGCCATCAGTCAACTAAAACGGTCTTGAATTTCCCTATTGAATTCCTTGGCTGTGGGTTGAAATAGTTCTTTCCTCTTCCTATACCCTCTCCCTCGTCTTCCTTACTGCATTTATACTAAGGCCTCGGAATGCAGTCACACCTAGACAGCTTGGTTGCTTGTGCCTGCTTTGCTACAGATCCCCATCCCTGAGTGCTTTGTACAGAGCTAACTAAAAAATCAGGGCAGAGACCGGAGGAATTAAGAGGCAGAGGTCGGGGAGAGGTTTTTGGCGGAGACCGGATACAAGATATGGAGCTGATGAAATGGGAAGGATGGAAGAAGGCTGCTTGGTGTGGTAGGAGCTGCAGAGGAGAAGGCCCTTGGGCCTCAATTTGAGACTGCATATAGGCATGTGCAGTGGAGGAGGGACAGCGTTAGGGGTAGGCGTATATAGATTACACACGCATGAGAGACAGGTCCATGTGATACTGTGCATAGCATCTTTTATCGAGGCTCTCAGTGCTTTAGAACCAGTAGTGAGTTGAGGTCCTCCCCCCCACCCATGGTTTAGGTATTATCCCATTTTACAGATGGGGAAACTGAGGCACAGAAAGACTGGATGATTTGCTCACCCACTGAGTCCGACAGCTTGGGGTTAGAACCTCCTTCTTCCAACTGCTCTCCCTGTTTCACAAATT